GGATAGCGGGCTCTTAATGCAAAATAAGAGGCTCTGTTTGCAAAAGTGTAGATGCCATGTGATTATGACACAAGAATAGCCTCATATGCATGCAATACTTCAGTTAAGTTTTAAAGAGCATCCCCCGTATTTGGCTTCTGCTGACCAGGAAATTCTAATCAGATTTGTGACTCAATTATATTCTGACTCAAAAATATGTCCTAGGTTCCTGAATTCTGTTTTATGTTTTCCTGATCATGCTCCTCTTTTTAAATTGATCTTAGACTACAAATATAAATTTGGGGGCGCAAAATATTTTTTGCTTGTGATCATGTTCATTATATACACACAACCACAATGCTACTCAAAATGCTTTATGGAAATAAGAGACAAGTGAATAGGCATTATTTGCAAGTAAGGTAAAGTCCAGGGTTTTTTTTTCCTCTGTGTCTTCCATGCCTAGGAGTTATTGGATTAATGTTGAAAGAAAACAAAGGAAAAAAGACAAAAGCAAACACTAGTGCAGACCTTGGAAGTCAAAGGGGTGTTCTACAGACAAGAGGCACTTTAGCAGGTCTGTGGGAGAAGTTAAAAATGAAGGGAGTTCCCTCTCAGTCTTGGTCTCAGGGAAAGGGGGAAGGTCAAACGCAGGAAGGGTGTCATATTAGTCAGCTTTCCAGTACTATAACAAGTACTTGAGATGACCAGCTCATAAGGAGAAAAGATTCATTTGGCTCAGAGCTGAGCAGCTTTCAGCCTGTGTTCATCCAGCGGTCCCCTTGCTTTGGGTAGTGATAAGGCAGCTCGGCAGGGCAGTGTGGAACAAAACTACCCACCTCCCAGCCAGACACCAGAAGACAGGAAGGAGCGCCCAGCGTCCCACGGTCCCCTCCATGGGCATCGTGCCCAGTCCAAAGACCTCCCATGGGACTCTGCCTTTATAGTTGCCACCACCTCCCGATGGTGTCAAGCTCAGGACTTAGCTTCACATCTATGGGCCCTGGGGGGACACTTAGGATGCAAACAGTGGCTGCCACACGTTGTCTTGAACACGGACGATGTCTCTGCTCGGTCTCCCCGCAGCCCATAAATAGCTTCGAAGCCTGAATTCGGCCCCGCGTCCTCTCCGTCTCTCATCACCCCCTGATGATCTCATCGGACAGAGCCTGCAACGCCATCTGGACTCCAATGACTCTCAGGGCTGTCTCTAGCCCAGTCTCCAGTCCTGGGCTCTGGGACTGCCCACTCCACACCTCCCGGGAGGCTCAACAGACGCCTCAGAGTGAACATGAGAAACACCCAGCTCCCGCTCCACCCACATTGTCCCCATCTCAGGCCAAAGCAGCTTGAGTCATCGTGGAGTCATCCTTCCTTCTGATACAACTGTCCGATCATCAGCAAACCCCAGCTCCTCCATCCTAGAGAGAGAAAGTTCAGAATCCAACCCCTCCCCACGATGACGACTCCACCACCCACCCCCCCTTGCTGGACACTGCCACCTCTCTGTCACTTGGGAGTCACAGTCACTTCCTAGCTAGTCTCCCTGCTTAGACCTCAGCTCACCTACAATCTTTCTCAACCCAGCAATAAAGAGGATCATTTAAAAATATTTCTCCTGCACTCAGAGCTCAGCGCTAGCATCCATCTCACTCAAAGGCAGAGCCAGGGTTCTGTTTAGTTCACTGCCATCCCATGCCTGGAACTCAGCGTGCCAGAGGTTCCATGTTCCATGCATAATTGCGGGGTTTAATTTTCCCAAATCTTCCTGCTGGAAGTTCCTTCATGGTCCTCCTGATGTCCCTCAGAATGAAGGAGAGAGGCAGACCTCCAGCCTCCTCGCTGACCACACAGCCAGATGGAACAGCCAGCACCCCCTATCGTGTCTCCTCCACCTCACCTCTTTCCCTATGTCACTTTTCAGCCCAGAACAATCTCTGAAATCTACCTCTTGGGAGACTCAGTTTTGCATTCGCCTAGCCGAAGGTGCCCCAGGTAGGTGGCTCTCCTGGCCTTTCGTGGTCTATGTCAGCATCCTTTGGTGGTTCATCAAGCCCCCCACTCGGAAACAGGGGTGATGTCTCTCTTACACTGATACCACAGCCAGCAGCCAGGGAGAGACCCTGCTAGAGTGCTGGGCGGCAGCGGTGGTATTAGTTATTACGATGCTGATTATTGTTGATGTATATTTATTGTATCAATGATCCTCCCCAAAAGGCACTAGGACTTGCACAGTTTAACTGATTGGTTTATTGAACGATATATTGATTGGCTCATTCTCTACCCTCGAGTAATAGTTAAGTGCCTCTTTCCACCCGAAGCTGTTTTCTTCCCTTCTCAGAGCTGTCCCCTTTGAAGCATGAGAGGAAGTAGCTCAAGTGGGGGAGGCAGCTGCCCCTCGGCGTCCTCAGCAATCAGAACAGCTCCAAGGACACTTCCTGAGTCCACAGACACCTCATCCAGGGCCGAATGCAGGAGGCTTCTATATTGCAATTCAAATTTCTCCACAAATGGATACATCTTGGTGCAAATTTATTACAGTCATGGGGCTTTTTTAAAAAAATCTATCTCACTGACTCGGTTCTATTTCCTAAGTAAACTGAGTGTGAATTGGTCTTGATTGGTCCTTAGAAATCACCTATGTTGAAGGTTAAAAGTCCACAGAACATCATGTGCTCATTCGACTAACTAAGGGTTCCGAAATGCCAGGCTGGGCCCCAGGTAAACCTTGGGAGGGTCATGTTCGTCCCTGCCCTACCATCCAGCGGTGAATGGAGGAGCCAGTGTCGCTCTCTGAATACTTCACTAATTAAAGACAGCTACAATGGAAAGAAGAAAAATTTCTTCACACCTATGACCCATGCAGGCTTCAGCCAAATCATCCCTTTAGTCCTGACAAAATTATCATGTTGCAGATGGGGAAACTGAGGCTCGGAGACATCAGATCACAGGCGCAGGCCACATACCGTTAGGTGATGAAGTTGAAATTCCAACCAAGGTCAGCCAGTCCCTGAAGGCCACACCCTTTCCACTCCACCACCTGGGGAATGTGAGAAGCCTCTGCCAAATGGAGAAGCCACCAAGGTCACTGGGGGAATCGCAGTGGGGCCACAGGACCTGCAGAGTCTCCAGGTCTGGACAAATTCCCCTGAGATCAGTAGTACAACCGCTTGAAAGCCAGCAGACATCAGGAAATTAAAAACAAACAACACGCCATCAAGTTAAAAAGAAAAATTGATGCAAAGGAACAGTCTCCTTACTTATTGCTAATGGCCTTCACCAGTCCAAGGGCACGGGGACATTTGTCCCAGGCCTATTTTGTGAAGCTTGGGCTCTTTGGCTTCCCCAGAGAGTGGAAGAAGGGTGTCAGCTCTTGAGCAACCGTGCCCAGAGAGACAGAGAGCTATGTCTCTGGGAGGGGAAGCAGGAAGGTGTCCCAGATGAGATACCACCATACTTGGGGCCCTGTCCCAGTCCCACATCTGGGAGCCCCATGGAACTCACCCCACTCCACATGACCACAGCTTATTTACAACCTCCATGAAGCCCTTCACACGCTGGCTGAAAGGCACAGCTGTGCAAAAGGCCACCAAACTCCAGGGCCACCCTCCCTACCTTGCATGACGCCTCTCCCCGGGTTCTCATTTTGGAATCTTCAGGTTCCCACTCGGATGGCTATGCTTCCTTCATAGGCTTTGAACAGGGTGTTCTACCCAGAGAGTTTCTGCCACAGCAGACAGTTTTATCATCCTGGCCACATGAAATGCATTGAGCCCACCATGGCCGGGAGCAGCCAGGCCAATTCCCATGACTCTCGGGCATCCTTTGAGGAGCCCTGGGAAGGCACAGCTATACACAGCAGCTACTGTACGTGAAACACTTCAGCTTCTGCAGGCAGCAACTTCTGGGGGAAATCCCCACTCTCGTGAGCTGTGTTCTGGCTCACAGCCCTTGCAAGACCTGAAAGGTGAAAATCTTCATTCAGCCTGTTTCCAAGCCCCTGGGAAAACCAGGAAAGTGCTTCCTCCCGAGTGCCTCAGCCGGGGGGCCAGGGAAAACCGCAGAGACCATTCCCACACCACTGGGCCCTATCCGTCCTAGGACCCAAAGACTGTTATTCAGAATAACCAAAACAGCTCCGTCCTCCAGGGTCTAGGTTCCAGGGACGTCTGTGGAGCCACGTCAAGCTGACGGAAAGGAAACCTCTCCTGTGGGTCTGACTCCAGGCAAATATTTCGCCCAGAAAGAAGCAGTGGGGGCGAAGAGAAATCAATGAAGGATTTGCAGATAGATGTTCTCTGGGCCCAAGTACAATTTACAAAATGCGACGTACAAAGAAGATGAATCTACTCCCTCTCTCTGCCAGGCTGGAGCAGATTCCTGAATCAAAACAACTCTTCGCAACAGGACTGAGTCTCAGCTAAAAGTGAGTTCCTCAAAAGACGCCAGAGACAGGGTGCAGAATTCCTGAAATCTTATAGCAAGTGCTTGAACCTAGCAGCATTCTGAATAAATGGGGAAGGAGTCTGAGGGACAGGTGTCTCTGGACACAATGTCCTCCGGGACGATTTACGGAGGGAAAGTTGCAGGGCATGAGTTTTCCCATCACATAAGGGACAATGCACAGCCATCTTCAGACCAAGTGGCAATTCATGGATTTGAGAAGCGAGTCAAGTCAGGGTGACAACCAGGGGAAAGGGACCCAGCCAGGAAAATACAATTTTGCACAAGCCAGAGCTGAGTGGAACATGTTTCCCCGCTCCTCTAAACCACTTTGGCAGTGAGGTGAAGCTAGGGCCGAAACAAACACATCAGGAGCTACTGCACCTCCGGACCTCCCTACCCCTTCCCTTCCTCTGAAACCCATGAAAACTTGATTTGTCTCAACTACACGCAAGCTGGGAAATTGGAGAGGAGGAAGGGGGAAGAGGGAAAGAGAGGGGGCCAGGCAGCGTCCATGCAGTCAGCTGTCGTATTGATTTAGAGCCACACAACCCTCCGAGTGCCATCGGCAGCAATCATACCTCCTGCTGATCTCGGGGGAAATGCTCCAAGATCCATGGCTGGGAGTTCAGGAGAATCTCTAAGCCATCAGCCAGGAGCCGGGCACTGCAGCTCCACAGAGTGATGGACTAGGGCGAGCTTTAATTAACAGGGTCTGATGCCTCTTCTTTTTTGGTAACTGAGCAGATTTAAAGGGCTAGAGTCCCAATTTGAAGGGTGCGGGTGCTTCCTGGCTGCTGCCGTGGCTGCTCAGGCTGCCTGCTGCTCCCAGCTGCTGGGAGAGTCTCCTGCAGACCTGCACGGCAGCCAGTGTGGAAGTAGGCACAGCCGGGAAGGCGGGAAGGGGGAGCTGGAACGTGGGGTGTCCGGGCTGCAATGTCCGAGTCAGGGCCACCGGGCATGCCACCGTGACGAGTACCCAGATCCTGCCTGCTGTCCCTTGGCCAGGGCAGAGTGCTGGGCCCCATGGGTGCAGTGGCATCAGGGACATTCTCTCCAGTGGGGGCATGGTGACTGTCAGCAAGGAGCTGCACCTGCCTGCCCACAAACAAGCCTGCAGGTACGTGTGCATGCATGGGCCTACCTGTGCACATGTGTGTCTGACTACCTATACATATACATGTCTTGTACACACACATGCCTGTAGGGGTGCATACATGTGTCTGCCCTTATACACACATGCCTGCCCTGGTACACACACACACACACACACACACTCCTGCTGGTGTTCGCACACACTCCTGCCTGTGTACACATACATTGCCTCTGTGTGTGCACACATATATATGTCCATGTACACATATACCTCTCTGTGTAACATATACACAGCTGCCCATGTACATATGCATGCTTGTCCATATACACACACATGCCTGCCCATGTACACACCTTTCTGTCCATGTACATAGACTGGCCTATGTACACATTGAACATGTGTGCTCAATGACACACATGCCTTCCATGTGACACACATATGCCTGCCCATGGACACACATGTTTGTGCATGTGCCTACCTTGGCACACATATACATCTCATGACCACACATACTGCCCACCTTCCGACACCCAGGCACAAGCCACACAGCCTTCAGGTGTCGGACCTCTGCCAGCCACCTCTCCTGAGGGAGGCAACTCTGAGAGAAGGAGCTGTCAGGAGAGAGGCTGGTGCAAGATGGCCTGGGGAGGGGCCTGGGAGATGGCTCAGTGGAATAAGCGCTTCCCTAGCAAGCGCAAGGGCCTGAGTTCAATCCACCAAAAAATAAAAAAATAAACAGCTGGCCTGGGGACAGGGAAAGAGCAGGAAGACCCCTACCACTGTAGCTGCCAAAGCCAAGCTGGGATCTCAGTGGGCAGCCCTAATCTGAAACCATCACAGCCGGAAGCCCCTGCCACGCAGCCTCACCCACTGCTCCTTGGACAGAGGCGGGGCCCTCACCCTGTCCCTCCTGTACAGTGCGTCTGCAGAAATGACTTTCCCAGGACGCTTCTTCGGTCCACGCAACAGCAACTTGCACAGTATTTTAAAGCAAAATAAATCAGCGGGTCAGTGCCCTGGAGTGAATGCAGGAGTTCAGAGGGGCCTGGGCTGCAGGGTAGGGACTGAGCCTCAGGTCCCTGCCCAGGCTGCGACAGCTCCTGTGACTGGAGCCTGGCTCACTCATTTACAGAACAACAGGGTTGAACTAAGCCTGCCATGCTCTTAACAGAAAGGGAAGGCACAGAGGGAGAGCCTACACTCTGAGAAAGCCAAGCCGAAAGCCGGGCAATTATCTGCGTGCCGAGCCGGACCAAATCCTCTCGGCTTAGGGGACAGAAACTGTAGAGGGCTTGAGCTAAAAACAAAATCTTGAGAAGTACAGTGTGAGATCACCGTTCAGGTCCTCGGAGTTGGGGAGGAAGCGAGTGGGGTACACGCCCCCTCTGTGCTCCAGCCCCTCCCTTGAGAGATGAGTCCTGCGCACAGCCAGCTCCAGCCACACAAGTCAGACAGAGGTGGCCCTAGTCCATGTATTTGTTTTTCTGTTGCTGGTACTAGGAATTGAATCCAGGGCCTTTGCCCTGAGCTACCTTCCCAGTCCTTTTTAAAATTTTGATTCAAGATCTCACTAAGTCACTGAACTGCCCAGGCTAGGCTTGATTTGCAATCTTCCTGCCTCAGCCTCCCAAATGGCTGAGTTGGCAGGCCTGGACCACGGCACCCATCTGAGCGGGCACTTCAGACTCCAGATGGTCCCCAGGAAAAATCCCTGCAACTTCCCAGGGAATCACTCTCTGCACCCACAGACCCTGCCCCACAGTAGATGCCCTTCAGCCTCACCCTGTTAGCAAGAGGAGCTCTGTCTGCAAAGACTCTGGACATGAACCACATATAGCTCCAGTCTGGCTTGTGTCTAGATGTCCCCCCAAGACCCCATGTGGTCATATGTGGGGCTTTTCCAGAGTGGCTGGATGGACAGTGTGTGACACTGGGACTGATTCATGGGGCAGTGCTAGGACCAAGGGTACTAGGATTAAGGGTGTGAGTGCTGCCCACCCTGAGTAACTGGGACAAGATATATGAGACGGAAAGAGGTGCAGCCGCCTGCTGCTTGCACTGCCTCCTTCTGCTCGCCATGAACTTTTTCTCCTCCGCAATGCCTGTCGGCCACATCACCCTACCTTGGAGCCAGCCAATTATAAACTGAGAGCTAAATAAGCCTTTCTCCATTTAATGTTTGATGTCAGGTTTTTGTATCAGCATGGAGAAGAGTACGTAAAACAAGCTCCTGGCCCCCAGCTTCCAGGGAGGTCCTCAGATTTGTGTCTTTTCTCACTTCTATAAAAGGAGAAAGACATGGTGGGCACAAAGAGGGGTCCCATGCACTCAGTCCCAGGGCCCCATGTTCTTGATGCATCTCCCCATAAGGAACACAGCAGAGCCCCAACAAGAACCCCAAAGCCAAGGGGGTGTCTAGAGGACCGTCTCACCTCCATCCCCACTACACTCCCCCAAGTCCCCAGCTCCCTTCCCTTCCTGAATCTTCATTAATAAGACCAAGTCCTTACTTCTTGAGAACAGAGCAGGAGCAGAGTTCCCGATGCTGCATTTTCTGGCAGCGCTCGGTGCGCCCCACATTCCCGCGGCTGACCTCGGGGTCTCTGTGCCCCCCATGCCACAGCGTACGTCTTTCCTCGACAAGCTTCACACTCCCTCAGAACAGATCTGAGAGGAGCAGGCTGGGTGACTCGGGTAAAAGTGCGATGAACACAGACAGGAACAGGAAGCTGCTCAGCTGGGTGGAGTCCACGATTCTTCTCTCCTGGGGTCCCCCAGCTGTCCTGTGGACTGACAACATGGCCCAGAACACGGTGTCTGTCTCCCAGAGGTGCCTCATAGCTCCCTGCATGCTCAGGATCCAAGCGATGAGGCCCAGGGCAAGAAAGGGATTCCCTCCTCCTGCTGAAGCGGTTGTTGTCCTTTTCCCAAATGACGCACCCTCCAGTGGTGACCGGCAGATGGGAAGGTCTGCCCTTGTCATCCCATCTGCAGGCATGTCGCCCACCAGGCCTCTGTGAGAAGCTCAGTAGGCCACAGCTCCAGAGGCCCAACCTTTGTTCAAGGTGCAAATGACACTGTGGAGCCTCCAGAGGGGCCTGCCCAGGCTCTTGCTGGTCACTCACCACTGCCCCCAGCTCCAGGCCATCCAGGCCTGCCAAGGCTGGGGCTTCAGGCCGAGCTTCCCAACACACTGAGTGCAGCAATGAGAGCTCAGGAGGCAGGTGGGAAAGCGAGCAGGGAAGATGGTAGTAGACAGTTGGCTCAGGCTCCCAGAGTCCTCTGGTGCTGCTAATGCCCCCTCCTGCATCCCCACTGGTATCAGCCTTGCCACTTGCAGAGAGATGGCAGTGACCAGGCTGTGACCCTCGGCAGGGAAGTAACTGCCACCAAGATCCTGGGGGTTGACACCAGCCCCACTGGCCCTGCTCAGGCCAGGCCAGGCCCCTTCTTTCCTCCTCTACCCCGACTTCCAGGGCTGGTGGAGACCCTTGCAGTTGCTGATGTCTAGGCTATTTCAGCTCCCAAGACTGCACAGCTAATCCCGTGTATCAAATGCCATCTGTTTTGAAACATCTAGTGTGGTTTCTGTTTTCCCGACTGGACAGAAATCTTCTTTGGATATCTCAAATTGGAGCATCCTAATAGTCACGATTAAGCCTTCGTGGGAACATTCTACCACACAGGAAGCAGTTTTCAGTGTGAATGGTAACATTTCCAGAGTAAAGGAAATGGTCAGAGAGAGGGAAGCTCTACCATCCTTCCTCAGATTGGAGCTCACTAGCACATCCTCGTGTGATATAGTTCTCATTTATTATTACTAAACATATAGACATGAAGAAGAGAAAGAGGAGGAGAAGGAGGAAGAAGAGGAAGAAGGAGAAGGAGAAGGAGAAGGAGGAGGAGGAGAAGGAGAAGGAGAAGGAGAAGAGGAAGAGGAAGAGGAAGAGGAAGAGGAAGAGGAAGAGGAAGAGGAAGAGGAAGAAGAAGAAGAAGAAGAAGAAGAAGAAGAAGAAGAAGAAGAAGAAGAAGAAGAAGAAGAAGAAGAAGAAGAAGAAGACTCCTAGTGTAGT